AAAAAAGTTTTTTTGGCGGGTAAATTTTTTGGCGGGAAAATTTTTTACGGGAAAATTTTACAAGGTTTTTTAAAGGTTTTTACAAGTGTTTTGGCGGGAAAATTGCGGGATCACTTTTCCCGCCAAAAAATATTTTGTATTTTGTGGACATAATTTTGTTTCAAATAAGGGTAAAATGGTCATTAAAAATTAAAAGAGGGCAAACTTAAAAATGGACTCTCAAAGGGGGCATTTTTGAAAAGGGGTATTGAAAAAGGGGCATTTTTAACAATTTCTCTTATTTTAATTAGTAATATGTCATAAGATTCATCACTAATTCACTATATATTTTTTGAAAACTAAAAAATGAATGTCTTTTCAACTTTTATACAATTTTTAAAAATACCCAACATATTGATTCTTAAATATGTCTTGATTCATTACTATATTTTTTTGAAAGCTAATAAATGTATGATTTTTCAACTTTCATATAATATTATAAATATCCATCATATTGATTTTTAATATATCAATTTTAAAACTAAAATGTTTATAAAATTTTAAATATGATTAATCTTAAACATTTTCTCGCTAAAATTCAAATTATATTATTATGTATAAATTTATATTTCTTTGTTCTTTTACTTATAATATTAATTCATTTGTATTTAACTTAAATATTTTATAATCATAAATAATAATAAATAAAAATAAGTATGTATTGAATGGATATTTTAAATAGATTATATTTTTTAATTTTTAATTAGATGCATGCTTAGGTGGATGATTATGTGGATATCCTAGATGGAGAGAGGACTCTCCCATTATATATATAGATTATCTAACTGTAAATAAATATTATGAAAGTAAAACTACTTTTGAATTCTTCAACAAAAGATTAATGACTTAAATTTCCATCTCAAAGAATCCATCCCCATGTAACACATTGTGTCGTCGGAGTATAACTGGCATCAAAATTACATTTTAGAAATAGGGAAGATGGCTGTGTCCAGTTCTGAGCATGTGTTAGTGATGACGCACGCTTGCCGCGTTTTTCTTGATCAGTTTGGTTCGACACTTCGACTTAAACCATATATTCGTTAACTTCAGTATGGGCCTTGAGTACAACGTTCGTACTACTATCTCTCTCTTTATTAAATATGATTTTTTGTCCTTGAAGATGTTGAAGGTTTAGAATGTTTCAAATATTTTCTTCAAAATTTGAAGATGGTGATTGTAGAGTAGTTATAGGTACATTCTGAGTATCTCCACGACATTACCGCAAAAGGATATGTAAAGAGGACATGGTTAATACTTTCATCTACGCGACTACAACGTTGACAATGGTTAATACTTTAATATGTATCAAAACGTTAAATCAAATATATAAAAAAAAACGAAAAACATATTTGATAATCTTCTTTTCTTCTTTTCTTTTTTTTTCGTTTTTAATATTCGATAGCCTTAGCCTTAATATTATCAAGAGGTCCGCAACCCCGCATCGATCTCTTCTGGATTTTGTTTTTGTCTTATGACATTTCTCTCTGGAATTTCAGACCGTTGAATTGAAGAGTCAACGTTCAAAATCAGACAACGTGTGTAAAAATATTAAAAATATAAGAAATGTATCACGAACTTTGAGATACATACTTTTTAATTTATAATGGCTTACTCTTAACATTTAATTATTGTTTCTCTATATCCGCTCCATTATATGTTTGTGCTATCAAAATCAAATTTTTTTGTTATATATTTAAGTTTACAAAAATCAAATATTTCTTTTGGTGAGGCTTCGAATCGTACCAATGAGCTGTGGAGGATGTAATTTTATTTTACTTAGTCATTAACATTACGGAATATTTAATAGATAAAACATAAATCATGATTTCTCGGAATGATGTAATTGGTACAAAAATGTGTGACCGCAAAATAATCCAGCGAAATAAAACTCATTTGTTGGCTCATAATTATGGTGTGATTGGTTTTTCCACCATTGTGTTTGTAGAGTTTTGTTTTGTTTTGTTTTTTGGCATATGTTTAATATTGATCACAAAACTTGCCGTATAATTTTATAATGTTTTCATAAATGAATTATAGTTGTGGAGGATGTAATTTTCCAAATACTTATTCATTTTTTCAGTCCTTTATTTCATAGATT